CGCTCGGTGCGGCGTTTGCTCATCGGCCGTAAGCCCGTGTAGCGGCCCGGGGTGCCCGCGGCATCGGTCCGCGGCAAGGTGAGCGCGTCCCCCGGGCGGACGTAGCGAAATCCGCTTGCCAGGGCCGCGGTTGCTCCGGTGCTCTGCCGGCGCGGCGTGCCCCGGGGCGGTCATACGGGGATCTGATGTCGGAGGTAAGCGCGGTCCTCCGGTAAGTCGTGCCGGAGCTCAGGCGCTCTTGGGCTTCTGCGGCAGGTGGGAGCCCCGCGTCGGCATCGCGTGGAGTTCAGCAAAAGAAATGAGGAAATGGTTGTTCCCGGCAGTGCAGCAGCTTTTCATTTTGTATTAAACGTGTTTGGGTCAGTCCTGCTGTTTCCCGTTCTCAGTGTGCTCCAGTCCTGTATTGGCGCTCCGCGACTGCAGTGTGGCAGATGCTGAAAGGAAGAGTAAATGTCTTGGGATATGGAGAAATGTGCAAGAGCAGCTTTCAGGGCTCGGACAGCAGATGAGGTGTATCTTGCTGCAGTGACCGGTAGCTCTGGAAGTGTTATTGGTCAGCGTGAATGGTTCTGTCTCGTGTGCCGAATGAAAGGAGTCGCAGCTTTCACAGTTGCTATTGTGAGTAGCCACGGGCAGCTGACAGAAGGATCATTTACTCCTCTGGATGTTTTCTTCATCTTTTCGTTGTCCACACAGCGAGGAGGCTTAGCTATTTTGAAACACACAGAGCAAAACTGGAGTGCATGCAACTGTGGATTTATTTCGTGGCAGTGTGATAAGTGGGAATGTGGGGCCTTCATTTACAGACGGGAAGCTCACTGCATCAGCAGTCTTTGCTTTTCCGCCCCCCTCCCTTCTGCCATCTGTCAGATAATAAATTAATCTTACGTTATAGATGGAAGTAGCTCACTTTTTTTTTTTTCACAATTTTCCTTTCCGTAACTTCTGTGTTTTGCAATATTTTAAAAATTGAGCCTGCATGCATATTTTTCTATTCTGTTTTTAAAAACTGCTAGAATATGAGAGCAAATAAAAATGCTTGCAGCAGCACTGCATTGTAATCTACCAGTGTTTGCTCTCTGACTCTTGCAATATACTATTGTTCATAGTCTGCCAGGTAACACATGAAAGAGATGCTGTTCTAGTCAATCAATAGCATTTTCAGATGAGTATAAAAATAGATGGGGGTACAAAGTTGATAACCTTGTAAATTACTTGATTTAATTGAAAAAAAAAATGCTTCAAGTTCTTATACTATTTCTTGAAGTTCAAAAATGTTTATTTAACTTTGTTAATAGACAGTGTCTATTGTGAGCAAAAATGGTGGGGGGGAGAAGAACAAACAAGTAAATGCAAAGGATGTAACAAGTAACTGACAGTGATATTACCTATAGAACAAACTTTCTTTTCTGCTTCTTCAGAGGGTGTTACACAGTAGTAGGATGACATGTTATTGCTCCTAAAATATGCATAAGTCTTACTGATTTGCTAACGGAAATTTTTTTATTTTTGCTTTAAGTTCAGTAGCATCGCTGTTAAAGCAGGATTCCATTGTAATGAAGTAATCAGTCCTATTTTGTGAAGAGCTTCTTGTTCTGATGCTTCATTTCAGCAGGTCCCTGCAAAGTTAGTTTTGGGTAGAGCCTAAGTCACATGAAAAGCACATTACACTTCTTATTTATACTCAGTAGTATGTGAAACAAGATTCTCCTGTAGTTTTTGCAGTAGGGTTGGGATGGGTGAAACATGTAATATCTCCCGTTGTGGTTACAAGGTAGCTCAGGATAAGAAAGTGATATTCATGAGGCAATGTTGTGTGGCTGTTCAGGGAAATAATTTTTTAATACCCTAAGTTCTGCAAAAATACCTGCTCAGTTTTCTGCTTTTCTGCATGTGTCTTTTTTCTGACAAAAATAATTGTCTCCATTTGCCATCTCAGATACATACAGCATCCTTCCAGTACCTAAAGGGGTGCGACAAGAGAGCAGGAGTGGGACCTTTTACACAAGGGCATGTAGTGATAGGACAAGGTGATAGCTTCAGACAGAAAGAGAGTAGGTTTAGATTAGAAATTGGGAAAAAATTTCCTCCTGCAGGAGTGATGTGGCACAGGAACAGGTTGCCCAGAGAACTTGAAGATGCCCCATCCCTGGAATTGGTCAAGGCTCTGAAATTCTAATGGAAGGTATCTCTGACCATGGCAGGTTAGTTGAAAGTAGATGACCTTTAAGGCACCTTGGAACTCAAACCATTCTATGATATGTTAAAATTGTGAATTCAGCATTGTGATGAATTCATGCAATTCACCTTAGTGTTAAGAGCTATGACAGTGATGTTGCTCAACAGAAAACACAAATTATGGCATGCAAGACCATTGCCTAATGTTCAATATCATTAAATAAAAAAACTATACCACGCAGCAGAGTTGCTCAACAAATGATGCTATGCAATAGCATTACACAATAAATCATACTGAAACACTACTACACAGCAAAATTACACAACAAAATGTGAAGAAATTTTATTCCCACTACTACTCCTACACTTATTCTCTCCATTTCCCACTTCCATTTTATTGAATACCTGTGTGTCTTTAGTCCTGTTCTCTGTATTCAGCAAGATTGATTTGCCAGCAGGTGTTTTCTCCTGCTGCCTCGGACTTCTGTGATGAGACTTGTGTAGAACTGTGCCAGAACATCCCACTGAGTCTTGTGCTGCTTTATTTTTGCACATTAAAGTTTTGATCATTTTCCTTCCCTGCTTTGTGCTATTTAAAAACCAACTGACCTTTTCTGAGACCAAAAAAACCCCAAAAGACCAAGTATATGATGAGCCTAAATGGATTTTGAGTTGATGTTCCAATTTCTTTTAGCATTAAGTATGCTGTCTGAAGCTGATTTGTTTGTGGTTTTGGTTTTTTAAGTCTTGCATTTGGGAATAATAGCAGTGTTCTGTGACTTTTCCCCCATATACATTATCAAATACATTTTCAGCATTAGCTTAATGTTTTTGCTTGTTCATTTGTTGAAAAACGACTTTTTTTCTCTCTTTCCTTGACTACTTTCCAGTCACCTTTCATGAAAGCCCAAAATCCATTGCAACCATATGTTCACCTAGAAGGCTGAAGGACATTATTTAGGAAGGCATAAACTTCAAGAAGATATAGAAAGGTAAAATACATGTTCTTAGCGGTCATCAAGAGAAAAAAAAAAAAAAAAAAGGTGGTCGGAGGAACAGTTACTATCAGGAAATATGATCTAGGAATTCCATGCCCTTATTTCTGTGAGGGCATGGGACCAGTTCCATGTAATTGCTAGGGCAGGGCTTCCTTCTTTCTCTCAGCTCAAGTAGCTAGTTGGGGTTGGATTTGCCAGGAAGGATTAAGGGTATGATTAGATGACTGAGCAAGTGACTTAAAGGGAGGTTCCAGGCTGAGTCCAGGGGAACTATTAAGATGAATAACTCAGGACACAATCCAGGAAAGAAGAGTGTGGAAATCTCAAAATGTGGGTGAAGAGACCATTGTCAGTTGGAGAGAGGGGAATAGGAGACCACGGCTAGAAAAGAAGATTTCTTTAGAAGAGCTAGTTAATTTGAATGTACTGAGCTGAGGAACAGAAGGTTTTTCTGACTTTGGGTGAGAATGATTGTTCTTGGAGCTCAAGAGTTTAAAGGAGGCAGAGCCATCCCAGGCCACGTGGGACTGCTTTGGAACAGCAACTATTTACAGCTGTTGCAGTTAATAAGATTACAGACTTTTTCCATCAGTAGGAAAGGAGAGAGATGCAAACTTTCACTTTAGTGGTAGGGTGGTGTTCTACGTAGCATCTTGTTCAGGAGCAACATCAACTGCCAGTTTTATCAGCTGGGAAGCTGATCAAAGAGGATGGGAGACTTACAGCCACTTGCCTGAAAAGTGAACCAGTGGAGCAGCTTCCTTGAGAAAACCGATTGCCATAAATGCTTTTGCTAGGAGATTTTGGGACTAATTTGAAAATGCCAGGAAGTTCAGGTTCATTTGCTTTTTCAGTCCAGGGAACAGAACCAGAACAAAGCACATTTCTTCTTCCCTTGTGCCTTCCCCCATGGAGAACCCAGGTATGACCGAAGAATCCTGGGAGTTTAAGCTCGAGAAAAGTTCACTGGGGTGCTTAGCAGAACACTCTGAGTGCAAGTCATCCCTTGTAGATGAGGATTTGTGCCAAAGCTGGAGACAAGTAGAATTCCAGTGAAAGTGCTTCAGAGGGTGATGACAGGGAAAGAGAATGAAGGGTGAGATTAAGGTTCATGAAGTCTGTTTCAATGAAACAAAGCAGAACGTTTTCCTAAACTTTCTGAGGGCCAGCTGAGCATCAGATTTGGTCACTTGACACAATACTTGTCTTGCAGATACAATTTTCTTGTCAAAGGAACAGTTTTTTCAGTCTGCCCATTACTAGGTAAAGCACAAGGATTAGACAGGGAGATGGAGAAGCTGTCTCACTGGGCTGTCTTGTGGCAGAAACACAAAGGAAATCCTGTGGCAGAAGCAGCACTTGGAGAAATTGATTACAAAAGTAAAGAATGTTAATGCCTTGATCATATGAGGCTGCTGTCAACTAAAATGAGCAATAGGAGCATCTCAGTTTACTTGATTCATTTGACATTTAATTGCCAGTTCGTGAAGGGAGGGAACTTATTAGTGAAGGAAAAAAAGAAGGCTTGGTATTGAAGGCAATTTGCTGGGTGTTTGAGGGAAATTCTATCCCTGTTTCATCATCAGGAGATTTTACCAGACTGTAAAACTCAAAAAACATAATCAGCACTAAACAGATACCAAGCATTTTTGGAAATGGAAACACCATTCAGAAAAGTACATTAGTGAGGGGGAAATGTCTGCTTAGAGATCCTGGGTAAGCACACTTCAAGACCTTGGTCATGAGGGAATAGCATCAAGCAAAATGAACTCTTATGAATGAGAAGCTGAATTATGTGTGGAAGACTTCTCTTTCCTAAAATGAAGGAGGAGAAGTTGTAGGGATGATGTGCAAATCTCAGCTCCAGCAAAGAAATGAAACAGAAAAAAAACCTTCAAAGAG